GAAGATTTGCAAATTGTAATTAGATTGGCAAAGAAACATTAATTTCAGCTGAATCCAGAAAAAAACAAAGTCCATCTACTTTACCACGATCGTAGAACGTACACTCCAAAATTGACACTGCATGGAGAATGTATTGCCATTGAAAGAAACTTAATCTGCCTTGCAGCAGCTTTGGACACTGAATTAAGGTTTGGACCACAGGTCAAAGAGATGGCAGCAAAAACAAAGAAGAGATTGCATCATCTGGGTATCAATTGGGGTCATGTGTTAGGACACAGAAAACAACGTACAGTTCGATAGTTCATCCAATATTTGAATAAAGCCTTACTTTACTGCTCTCAGTAACATTGCCAAGATCAACATTGTGCAGCCATCCGCAGTTCACATACTAATTGGAAATGTAAGATCCACTCCAATAGCAATCTGTGAACAAGGGTTTGATGTTCAACCTCTTAAGAACCAGAGAAAAGAACAGCTATTTCCTATGGAAATCATCTCATTCCACTGAAACTCATCACTGTTCAGGTCTGTTTAGAAATTGGAAAACCAAGTCAAGGCTGAAATGATCATCTAGTTTCCAAAGGTGCACAAACGCTACTGAGGAAACAAAAGCACTGGATGACATTAGGAGGATAAAGAATGTGAAGAAGCTTGTATGCCCAGTAATTCCTTCACATGAACCTATTTACTTCAGTAAATATCTCTTCCTTTGGGAACCTTGCTCAAAGGAACCCATGGACTTGGCCACACTAAGGAAAATTGTAGAAAAGCCCAACCAACAGTGTCAGCCACAAGGCAAACATTTTCATGCTTACACTAATGGCTCGTCAGACAAATCCTTTAAGAACAGTGGTTGTGGTTTCTTCCTCCAGGGGTGTAATGGAGAAAGTACTCACTGCACTACAAGAAATAAACAGAGCGGAGATAGAGGAGGAGGCTGATCTTTGTAGACAGGCATCAATCCTCAGTTCCTTTAGAAGAAACCAGACTGCTATCATCAATGCAATTCATAAAGAGGTTTGGAGGATCAGAGAGAGAGACAATAAATTGACTTTACAATAAATCCCCTCACATGCTGGCATATGTGGGAGTGAGATAGTTGATAACCTGTCCCAAACCGGAAGGTCAGAAACTCAGGTTCCAGTGACAATAGCTGAAGATATTGTTGCTCTATCAAGGAAAATATTAGCGAAAATAAAAGATCAAAAGACAAAAGATCCTCTGATATCAAAGAATTTCAGAAAATAACATCCACTATTGTGAGAGTGCAGACAGGGCATAACACAGGAAGGAAAATCTATAGCGATAGGACCAAGATGTGCCAGGATTAAGCTTTCAAATCTGCCCATGCTTTTGAATGTAACATGGTAAGGAAAGTGATGCTCTTCAGAATTGACTCCTTGGATCAAGTTCTTGCAGAAGACCCTGTAAGAGTCACTGAATTCATTCTCAAACTTCATGGCTTGATATGATTACCAGAGGTGGGTTGATAATGGCATTTTATGGCTTAATATAGGACAAGAAAACAACAACAAGCTACAGAAATTTGATAGTAAAGGGATCTTTCATCTGGCAGACAAAGGTATAACATGATCCAATGGCTGTTAGTTAAAGCTAGACAAATTGAGACTAGAAATAAGGTACACTTTTTAAAGGCAGGTTAATTAAACAGAATAACTTGCCAAAGCTTGTGATGGATTCTCCATTACTGGCAATGTTAAAATCAAGTTTGCATGTTTTTGTAAAAGATCTGCTCTATTTCACAATAGCTATTGGACTTGACAGGAATTGATATAGAAAAGGGCTATGGCTTGTGGTATGGATGATCACAGTGATCCCTTCTGGCCTTAAAATCTACGACTATATATACACACCACAGAAAGAGGCTGCCAGCCATTCAACTGCCATATTTGCAGCTATACTGTTTAAATCCATGGCCAAGTCAATTTCATATGGCTCGTGGTGCAAACTGCAATTTAACCTCATTAAAACTGATAAGTAGCAATAGCAGACATAAGAAATGTGGCCAACTGCTGATGATGTTCAATAAATAATTCTGAGGCCAGTGTGAAATGCAAGCTATTGATGAGAAACCTGTAAGCAAAGAGATTCAATTGCCTGGAGCTTTTAGAAGTTATCGATCCAGAGCTGCCTTCCCCTATTAGCTCCTCCTGCAGCCATGTATGGTGTTACACCAACTCTGATTCACTTTCTCCCTATACATCATCGATCATTTCTCTCTGTATCTTTCAAGCCCTTGCAATGACTCCAGCCCTCCAGCTGAGTCCTTATTAGTCTCAGTCGTATTGGGGTAATAAAGTCAGAAATTCCATGGCCCTAGTGGGGCATAGACAGTTCTAGGCCCCATGTGGCTAGAGCCTTTAGCTCCCAAGTCTTCACTGTGCCTTTTGCTGGAGGTGGTAGGGCAACCCAGGCCTGCCCACTCCTCTTGGTGCCAGTTCAAGGCCCTTTTTTGGAGCAGCTAGAAACAGTCCCTCACAATCCCTTGCTACTCCTTGAGCTACATCCTACCTCTCCTCCTCTGTAGGCTTTCCCCAGACTCTCACCTAGTTCTCCCTCCTTGGAAAGCCAACATTGGCACACAGGAGTACCACCCACTGCTGGGTAACAAGGCAATGGAAGCCATGGGTCTGATTGCAGTACACCACCAGACTATCCTCCAGGTGAGAGAGGAGGGAGAACAGTCACCGGGGGCCCTGTCCAGCATTGTAACAGAATTATGAAGACATATTTCAAGGAGATGGGCAGTTGAAGGTCAGGCTGAAGTTAGAAATAGACCCCAATGTGCAGCCTAGGAGATTATTGAAACAGAGCCCAGTGGCCCTGATGGAATTGCTGAAGAAGGAACCGTCAGGCCTGCACAGAAGAGGCATCATTACACTCGTTGAAACCAGCACAGAGGGGATCAGTCACCTTGCAGTGGTGAGAAAATCTTCAGGTAAACCCAGGATCTGCACTGGTCCCAAACCATTTAACAGAGCATTGGAAAGACATCACTGCCCATTACCAGTGACTGAGGATATAGGACCTGATTTATCCAGGGCAAAAGTTTTCACTGTTTGATGGCCAGAATGAGTTCTGGCATATGAGACTGAGCTAGGTGAACCATCCAGCCACCTGACAACCTTCGCTGCTCAGCAGCCGTGTGAAAGCAAATCACCCATGAACAGTGATAAGACAAACAAGAGGTGGGAGGCGGGTATGAGGATCAGAGCTTTTGAACAGAACTGGGTGAAATATTTTCTGTGACTAGTAAATTCTCTGCAATATGCATTTTTGGGGTTATCAAAACTATTAACAAACGTGGGTCAAATTCAGTGGATGGTTTCAGCCAAAAAAGAAAAAAAAAGAAAAAAGAAATGAAGCCTCATTAGTCACAATGCAAGTGTGATAAGGGTTAGGTCCTTATAGAGTTTGTACAAGTAACCTCTGGCCCTGGCTAGTAATGAAAATCTTCTGGAAAAGACAGCACCATAACAAAATAGTTGTTAATAGGAAAGATGGAGTAACTTGCTTGGAACTTGGAGAGAGGGCAACAGGTTGCAGGAGAGCAGTTTGGAGTTATTCTATGTGCACGTGGCTAAATTGCTAAGGTGCAGTAGGAGCAGCTCTGTAAATATTTTCCTTTATAAAGTTCCAGTAGAGTTTACCCACACTACCAGTGCTACAGACACTTCCTACATCGATGGAAGGGGTTTTTCTGTTGATGTAGGTAACCCACCTCCCTGAACAACAGTAGCTAGGCTCACGGAATAATTCTTCTGTCAACCTAGCCGCGTTTGCATTGGGGGTTAAATTGGCTTAACTACAGCACTCAAGGCCAGGGTGTGAATTTTTCACACACCCAAACAATGTAGCTAAATCGATCTAAATTTTAAGTGTAGAGCTGGCCTAAGGGCAAAGTTCCCTATGGCTATCATCCAGTATGCAGCATATGAAACAGAAACAAATGTTTGTATCTTAATAAAATGTTTGCAGGTGGTCTACATAAGTATTTACGATCATGTTTGTTTACTCAAATTAATTGGCAACCAACTAACTCTAATTACAGCAGGAACAAAACATCTAGTTTGCACCGGGCCCTAGGATTGACCCCAGTCAGTTAAAACATTTTAAAAAGTGTAAAACTGCATCTGCACCAGGTGGCAATTGCAGTTTCTAATGAGGTTTGCTAACTTTAGGTAGCTACCTTGGTTTGAACAAGGTTAGGGCACCATTCCCTTCTTGCTTTGCCCTCATTCTGGTGGGAGGCAGTAATTTACGTCTGGCATCAATGAGCAGAAAATTACCAGAACCTCATGATAGTTCAGCTGTGCTTGCTGACATGTTCAGTGTGAGAGAGAACAGAGCCAAGTCTCCAACCATTCCCCTCCCACCTTCATCCATGGACACAAGGTCCTTTCTTCCCCTGAATGGGTGGGTGGGCCAGCTCACCATCTAGCCATTTATTTCCTCTTCTCAGTTTCTCTTTTTGTACCAGTCAGTGTGAATCACCAGCAGCCAGATTTTGCCACCTTGTTCATGTTGAGTAATTTCTCTCTGCTCACAGTTTCATTGAAATCAGTGGCACCATGCGAGGAGAAAGGCACTACCTCCAGTGAGAAAAGGCATCAGAATCTGCCCCTAGCTCTTCTGATTATCCTAGGTCACCTGTTTTATCAGCCACTTCCTTCATCCCTCCCTTGTGAAGTGTCCGATCTCTGGGTAGCCAGGACCAGTGCACCTCCCCTTCCCCCTCAGAGACCACGTCCAGCTCTACCTGCCCTGGTCAAACCTTGTCTTTCCTTTTAGGGTGGCAGGAATCTGAACTTTGCCCATGAACCAGGTTCTCCAACAGCTCAGTACAGGGCCCTGCTACCTCACAGCTTTGTAATAGAGGCATGTTGATGAAGTTACTCTGGATTTGTATGGGTGTAAATTAGATGAGAATTTGGCCAATTACCCGCAGGTGTGGAGGGAAGGGTTATAGGAGGAAATACCTGTGACAGGATCTCTCTCCTGAGCCTCTAGGACTTGCTCAATGTCAGCCTCCTGCTCCTGAACTTCACAATCTAGTAAGAAAACCAAAAAAGAAAATAAATTATTGTTACTTCGTCAAATATTCTCTTCAGACACTTTCCCAGCAGTCACACGCTGGTTTGTCTTTGTCCCCACGTGGAATGGGGATGCATTAAGGAACAGGGGGAGATGGTGTCTCTGTTCTTGACACAGCTCCAGGGATTCATGCCTCTTCTTCCTGGCCCCTTGTTACATTGGGAGGGAGAAAACTTGTCCCTGAAGGTGTTTCCGGAGCTGAGGTGCCAGTTCTGCTGCTCAGAGAGCTTCTCCTGCTGTTTGCTGGCAGGGACATCCTGCTCTGATGAGCCAGTGCTGATGGGACACCTCGCCAGCTCCAAAGGCCTATATTATGGAAGGACTGGAGAAGCAGGGATATTTGGGGGGTCATTGGAAAGACTGAATGGTGGAGGAAGTTATATCCTTCATAAATGCCCTCACCATTAATGTCACCAATACAGAGTCAGGAGTTATCTCCCTGATGGGAGCCCCTTGGTACAATATATCCACTCCCACCCTACTACTTCAGTTTCCTCTTCTCATTGCCTCTTACAAGGAGACCAAGCGTATCCTGGCCATTAATGGTCACCGTTAATGAACCCCCATGCTTTGCAAGAGGAGCTTGTCCTCCGATGAAAGCCAGGGTCTTTGTCAAAGCAGGAGAGGCCTTGACAGCAGAGTAGGAATCTATATTCTGCTGCCATCTTTAGCTGCAGCTTTCCCATTCTCCATGCCCCTTCTATGTCTCCTGCTATAGAGGAAAGTGACAGGGACAGCTACAAACCTATTAAAAAAATCAAGGAAATTTCCACCACCAAAAACATTATCAAAATGTTACTTAAGTCCAAAACCTTCCCACACAAACCCTTAAAAGCAGGAAAATGACACATTCTGGGAAATTTGTTTACCATGCTTTAACACCCACATATCACATGAACTACTCTTATGGACAGATCAATGTCCTCTGCCTCCAACATGTTGTTATGCTGGACTGTGTTGGTGGGTGCCAGCAAACGTGGCTTTGATTTATGGGCAATCACAGACTTTGTTGAAGCTGATGGGTGGACTAAGCACCCTTTCATTCAGGCTAAATATGGGAGTAATTAAATGTGATAGTGTTTAATGAGAGGTAAAACAACAGAATCCACCACCCAAGGCACAGACTAGCATGGCTAGGCCTGAGTACAAGCTGAGACAAATAGGCTGAGGGGATCCCTGGGACCAATAGCAAAAATGCAAGGAGCATTGATTTAGGTTGCAGCTATCTAAAGGAACAAGAAAGCCAGCTGAAAGCCAGAGAAGCACAGGTTGTGTGGCTGTGGAAGGAAACCAAGAAAGAGTACTTTGTTAGGGCATAGGACTGGCTAGAAGCAAGTTGCATTTCGGAACAAGAAAACTGCCTCCTATTGTTTATTTTTACTGTGTTCAGTGGACAAAGGACTGTGTACACATTCTTTTTTAAGTAAACAGGATTTCACCAAAAAGTATGTGACATGTATAATCAGTTTCTCCTCCTAATGGAAACAACCCAGAGAGGCCCCAAATATTGCTAACCACTCAGGCTAAGAGGCAAGAATATAAAGAAACAGTATACAAAAAAAAATGCTTTTAGCTTGCACTGCAGCAAAAAACCTTAACTATGAACTTACACTTTCCACACACAAAAAGAATAGATCATATACCTGCACATGTCTCTAAAGTTTATGTGAATGTTGCTGATGTCACAATTAAAGTTTGTGTTCCAGTTGCAGATAGTAGGCAGTACCTGGTGGAGAAGCAAGGCCCATCGATGAGGGTGGCAAACACAATGTGTGGGTGTTAAGGTTTGATAAAGAAGCTTCCCATAACTTATTTTCTTGCTCTGAAGCATTTTTGTGGGTGGGTTTCGGACATATTAAATAACTTGCTTTTAGTTTTTGTAGCAATGGGATTTCTATAAAATGCTTGTGGTGGAGTAGACCCCTGTCATCCCAAGGATCTGAGGCGATGTCTTCATTGCAGAGTTAACTTGTGTTATCTACACTCAAGTTACTCCTCTTGAGTGAGCGTATCTCAAATGAAAAGAGCCACACCAAAGAAATACAGGAGCTGCTGTGTCCACACTGGAACTGCAGTCACTCATGTGTGGCACTCAGAGTTTTATGAGCTGACCCCATGGTTCTTTGCACTGCAGTGAGCTGAGCCACTCTAGGAATTCTTTCCCAGTTATCCATGGGAGAATGTGACTATCATTTCTGGGTACAGAGGGGGAATAGCGAGAAGGCACTGGAGAACAAGCATCACTCAACTGGAGCTAGCTTGCAGCCACACTATGGAAAGGTCTTGTGCGCTGGTAACTTGTGCCAATTCAGGCTTTAGCCTGTGCCCCTGATGGGCCAGCCCATTTGTGTTAGAAGCACCACACTTGAGTTAGGGGGAGTTGTATGTGGATGTGACTCAATTTAGGGCAACACAGTGAGTTAACTGCAATGAAAACAAGCTCTGAGAGCCGTTCAGGTCGAGTTTTATAAGGGATCATGTTGGGTCTAGTTGGGGTGAAGTAATAGAAAGGCTTAGTTCTCCTGTATAGCCTCACTGTAGCCATACATGTCAGTGAAAGGCTCTGGCAGAAGGCAGACAGCAGGGAAAGCTTCAGCTGCTCCCCATGCCAGAACCTTTCACTGCTGTGAGGAAAGTCTCTGGTAGGGAGGGAGTCAGCAAGGATATAAACATGCCATGAAACTTTGGGTTCATCCTGCAAGACTTCCACGGACCTGACATGTGGGGCCCCAGGCAATTGCTCTGCTTGCAACCCCACAATGTTGGCCCTGCACTTGCAATCCCCCCAGATCCATCCCATGATCCCCCTGGGGGCTGCAACTCTCAGGTTGAGAAATACTGATCTAGATGAGTTGATGTATCCCATGGAAGACTTCTGCATACCACCAGGGGTACATTATTCCTGGTTGAGAACCACTGCCATAGACCAGTGGTTAGGGCTCTCACGCGGGAAGTAGTAATCTTGGGCACTTAAATCCTTAGCTGCTAGGGAACAACTAGTACATTTTTTACCTTGTGTCATATTGGTTAATACTCTGTAATGTTCTTAATAAAGAAAGAAGAAGAGATTATAGGAGAAAATACCTGGACAAAGTTTCTTCTTCCCTGAGACTGTGGCATGCTGAGTTTCTGGTCCCTGTTTTGGATTTAAAACAGCTAGCAAGAAAACCAGAGAAAACACATTATCAGTGTCTAATTTATAATGATCTTAGTTCACTTTCTCAATTACAACAAGTATATATATATTATTGCACTTCCCATGTTTCCCAAAATGTTGAAAGGGAAAAATCTGCAAATAAGCACAGATGAGTTCCTGTTTTTTCTTTAAGGCACCTTATCCACCTTGTGTAGAGCTCTTAGAGATCTGTGGATGAAAAGCTTTTTTTATATAAGTCACCAGCGCTGAGGGAGCTGTCAAAGCTCTCACCCTGCTGGGGAGGTGACTTGTCTCTCTGAACCCACAGAGTTAGATTCCATTGCTTCAAGGGCAGGGTTTGGTTGGGTGACAGTCAGTCAGGGGAGACAGGCCAGCAGGGATTGGCTGGATAGGGTGTCTTCAGGATGGAAATCAGAACTGTACCTTCATCACACCCACTCCCTTTTGTGTACACTGAGAAAGTGAACTAAGTAATAAAATACTGATTTGAATATTGCCTACATTGGCCACCCTGTCTAGCTCTGAAGGACCATGAAAGTACTGAAGAATTAATGAGTTGTCCAGATGAATCACTTTTGACACATTACATTAATGCATATAAAAGGGGGGATGCCAACATGAAATGACAGAACAGGGCCATAAACATGGCCCCCAGAGCATGATTTTATATATCTTTAATCCATCCAACTCTCCATCACTCTCCATACATTTCTCTCTTTAGGTGGTCTTTTAGTGTAACTTTTGACACAATGTTAATTATTCCCTTTGAATTTTCTGTGTGTTTTTTGCTTGATTTCTTTTAATAAAATTGTAATAGGAAGGATTTTGAAATTTAGTATCTGACACAGAAATTGGTAGAGAAATTAATCTTGAGTATATCTGGTGCAATGGATATAATTTTGCTTTTTTAAATTAAGGTATTTTTATCCATTATTCATTATATCTGGAACTATAAGCACCAATGGGTAGCCGACAGATATAGACTTCTATGGCATATGAACAAAACCTTCTGTCGGTAGCTACACTCTTCTGGCAGATTTTCTCCTATAGCAGTGAAAGCTTTCAATGCAGCTGCTGGCAGAGAAGGTTTTATTTGCCAGAGACGTGCAGCAGCTGATGGATAAAATCATCTCCATTACAACTGCAGTTCTGTGGCACAGCTCTGAACAAACTCATGCTCAGCTCCCCTCACTTACATATTGAACTCTGTAGGATGGTAATGAAGACACAAAAGGCTTTGATGTAATACAGTGAATGTTATGACACACACATATAACAGACTTTACTCAAAGCAAGGAAGTGAAAAGCCAAATGATCTAACAGGACATGCCTTTTTCTTCTCCTCACGCAGGTACACACTTTACCATTATCACAACTACTGTACATCACAGTCCAGTCACCATTCACAATTAGCTGCTCTATGAATTAGTTAGAACCTGTCTCCTTCCAGAGCCACAGAGACACATCTCAGTTTCACCCTTTAGAGCCTTTCTCAGTACCTCTAAATTTCTTCAGAATCTCCTCAGGAACAATGCCAAGTTGGTGCAAAGTGCTCAGGTTCTCTTCCAGTTCATGCAAAATCTCCACTGTTTGCTGATCTTTCACCTGCTCGCATCTAGAGAGCGACATTTTTGTGTATGATAATCTTTTATTTCTTACTAGTGAAAGTTGCTGGACAAAGGAGACCCAATATTTTAGTTTATCTCTGTCTCAAACCAGGTAGAGCATAGGGAACAGCATTACAAGATTCCTGGCCAGGCCCACCAATGTCCTATTAATGTAATTGAACTGTGAACTGTAAAGACCAGCTCTCAGCTACAAAGGGATTTCCATCTCCATGGCCAAATTCACTCCTTTGCCTCATGCTCTGATGGTCAATATATTTCCAGCATTCCTGGTGGTCTTTGTGCTGTGAACATTTGCCCACTAGGAGCTGAACTGATGCCCCATTTCCTCCAAACTCACTTCCAAGGAATCACCAGCTTGTAAAACATCTTGTTAACTAACAACCTTGTTAGAACTGTGATCAGTGACCAGTTGAAAGGTCCGTAGGCCACCACCAAAATGGGGTGCCCTCCAATCTCCTGGTGATGAAATTTATTCAGAACATACATTCAGGTTAATAATCCTCTCTGAGGGATGGATTATTGCAGAGTTTGACATAAAAGTCTAAAACCCCAGGATTAAACTCAGAGGGAGATTTGCAGCTGAAGCATGACCCTGACCTGCACAGTTCACTCTCATGTACCAAGGAGATGCCATTTTAACATGATTTCCAGGCCTCTTCCGCCATAGTAAAGTATTGGACGGAGTTGGGGGTTTGAGAGTGAACAACATACCTGTTCAAGGTGCTTCTGATGCCCTAGGAGGGAGAAAGGAAGAGAGAAGAGAGCTCAGTCCACATGTTACGCACTGGGGATCCCGTCTGCTCTGCAGCACCCTCACTTTGTCTTCACTACTTGAGTTCCATTTGCAGCTCTCAGGATATAGCTGGCTGTTAGAAGTGCTAGTGCCAATGTACGATTCAGGCCTGTATTTTCCTCTGAGATAGAATTTTGGGTTTTGCTTGCCTGTTTGATTTTTGATACATACACCTTCTTACTAATATCGGTGAACAAAAGTATCCTTCCTAATATGTGTAAACACAGGACAAAGAAACTGTGTATGTTGCTTCTGTCTATGCCAGATGGGTTTGTTAGTATAATAGGAACAAATAAGAACATTTAAAGTGTTACTGGAGTGCAAACTTTAAGACTGCCTCAACTCCTATCTCAAGGCAAGGTCAAGCAATCAGTCAGGAGGGGCAAAGGGGGATTGGGACAAGATATTAAACACTAAAAGGCCATAGAAATACCTGTCCCTGGACTGTAGCACAGCCTCTCTCCTTACCCCTCCCATGGGGTACAAAAGAGTTAGGACAATGACCCCAGACCCACGACCCCCCCACAATGGAACATGACCATAAGTTGTAAGAAGTGGGACTGTGGGTGTGCATTTCAGGTCTAATTATGTCTACTTAGGAGGGGAAATGGGACGCTGGGAAATAAGGTTCTGTGGTGTTAGAGTTATGGGACACATGGTTGCTGGAAACTAACCCCAATAAACATTGCATTGCTTGCATTTATGGTCTTCTGCTTTCTGTCTGTGTGACAAGAACCAGGGGAGAGGGTGAAGGGAAAACTCTCTAGCATAGGCAACTTAATTTACTAGAATACCTCATTGAAAAATTTTGATGAAACTTTTCTTCCATTGAAAAATATTTTGCAGAAATGTATCGGGTTCAACCTTTTCTCATCTCCAGGATGGAATACATCAGAAAGCAAGCAAGACTCCAGTGTCAAGTCCCTGCTCTGAACTCTGCAAAGCATGGACTGGACTCTGACTATACTCAGCTCAGTGTGTAAATGTGCCATTTTATGTGGTGTGTTGTATTCTCTTCGCGATCTGCATGTAACCAACTGTCCTTCACTGCATTAAGGTATGTCTAACATACCAGGGTGCAATCCAGACTGAGTAGCTGTTTTGCCCCATCCTCTAACCTGGAGTGCCCTTTACAAAGCTTTGCTGCTGTAGCCTCCAGTCTGGACTGCTCAGAAACAGCCTCCAGCATGCGAGTCACTCCCAGCTACATCTGTGTTTGCTGCAGCCAGCCAGACACACCTTGGCTTTTACCAGCCCTGATTACTATGCAGGGTGATTACAACACACTCCCAGTCCCAAATGTTCACCTAAAAATGTTTGTCCTCTACTAATACCCTGAACTTTCTATTAAAGAGATAGCGCCTTAATTGCTTGACTGCTCACACTATAGCATAACATTCTTTTACTATGACAGAATAATTTTGTTCACTGGGTGTCAATTTTTTTGCAAGAAAGTGAGGGGTGTTTTTTGTTGTTCTCACCTGTTTACATCAGTACAGAACCTAGACCAAAGTCTGGACTATCTAGAACAGGCTTCTCAGACAAGATTTTCTTTACCTTAACAAAACACTCTTGACATGGCTTTGTCCATATGACTTTGTTAGGTTTAGTCTTTTTACATAGGTCTGTGATGGCAGATACAATGTCACTGAACTCACACAAACCTTCTGTAATAGTTTACCAGACCAATTAAAATCAATTAAAGATTGGACCTGTTTTTTGGTTTAGGGTACAGGGTAATTCAGCCTTAACTATGGTGGTAAATAAATAAATTAAAGGAGATATCCTATCTCCTAGAACTGGAAGGGACCTTGAAAGGTCATCCAGCCCAGCCCCCTGCCTTCACTAGTAGGACCAAGTACTGATTTTTGCCCCAGATCCCTAAGTGGCCCCCTCAAGGATTGAACTCACAACCCCCTGGGTTTAGCAGGCCAATGCTCAAACCACTGAGCTATCCCTCCCCCCCACGACCAACCCATTATAATCTGGCTCTATGTAGTCCAGCCACTGGTGGAGGGATATGACACACACTTTGCCAGTGGGTTACACATCTATTTGCTAGATAGCACTGGGATGCTGGGAATCAGGACTTGTGGGTTCTTTTCTTGGTTTGGGCAGGGGAGTGGAGTCTAGTGGCTTAGAGAAGCGGGAGAGCTGGGAGCCAGGACTCCTGGGGACTGGGGTTGAGTAGTGGAGACAGACAGTGTAGCCTACCATGTAGGTTTGGCACATTCAGTTGGTGTAGATTACACTGAGCCTGGGTTCTGTTCCTAGCTCTGTCCTCTCTGTTACCTATTTTTAAATGGAATATTATACTGCCTTCCTGCTAGGAGGAGGGTATGAGGGTTTGCTCAATAATAAGGGTTGTGAAATGAGCAGAAACATTAACACCAGACAGTAGAAGATATGAGAGCAGAACTCAAGGTCTCAAGGCTCCCAGCCAAGTGCACCTTCCCCTAGGCCAAAAGGCACTTGGAATCTCTCTGTTCCACACTGATATCTGGATGAAAGTTTCACTCAGGTGACAGAGATACCCAAGATATATGACCATTGGTAGTTCTGCTGGATGCTTTAGTGCCTATAACTCTCCCTGAAGTTAAAGGAAGTTGACACAGCTCAGAATCTCAGAAGAGATCAGGACCTACTGGATATCACTGATTGCTCCCAATTTAAACCATGTAAAGTGCATCCAAATCCCAGAGTAGTGGCTGAGTTGTAAATGCTGATTATAAACAATAATTGTAAACAGGAATGATTAAACTGTCTGCAATAGCACAGCCAATTCCCTATCTTGTACCACCATAGCCAGCCATAAAAAGTAACTCCATGAGGGTATACAGTCAAGCAAATGCACCATGAAAATATGTTTTGTTCTATGCTGTGAAGCTGATTAAATGCAAGCCTTTATGGGTTACCAAAGGGATTGAATTCCATAGCCAGAAACCCTCCATCACTCTCCCCCAAGATATACAGTCATTCTTTTCTTTTACATGTAATATAATTGTTTAAAAAGACACATTGCACCACTAACCTTTGGATCATTAATTGGTTTCTCAATAATTTCTTTGAAGAATATTAGTTTTTTCATTTCCTTTAGAAGCTTATCCCTCTCCTCTTTAAAGTTATCCCTCTTCCTTTCCAGCTCTTTCTTCTCATTTTCTAGCTTATTTCCATCCTTTTTGAATTCTTCCATTTGCACAGTGCTCTCTTCAATACCTTTCCTTTTCTTTTGGATGTTTAGAAGCTCATCTTCAGACTTTTTTATCTCTTCTTCTCTTTGTCTGAGCATCCTTTCGTTTTCCTCCAACCTTTGATTGCATGTTTCAATGAGGTCTGCCCACACCTGTGTGTGATAAAATCAGTCACAGATTCTACAGTAGAGCAGGTGAAACCAATTTCAAAGTAGACAGTCCACACTTTTTCAATATTAAGAGACAATTAAGGTTTCAAAGTGAAGCACTCAAGTGTCAGGATATGACAAAATTAAAACTGCCTGTGCAGGATGGGGTGAGGAGGAAGAAAGGGAAGATTGAAGTCAAAAGTATTGAAGATGGTTTAGATAATACTTAGTCCTGCCACAAGTGCAAGGGACTGGACTAAATGACCTCTCAAGGTCCCTTCCTGTCCTATGATTGTTTGATTCTAAGAGGAATATGAATTAAGGTATTTATAGAGCTGAGAAATGGGAAATCTTGAGGGATCAGTGAATGAAATAGAAAAGCTTGAAAAGTTATGTGAGAGAAGAGGATCTATTCCACATTTCTCTCTAATTACATAGTATGGAAAAGAGGTACATGAAGGGAGAAAATATTGAGGCTGCTCTGAGAGATCCTTCACTTTCTGCCTTCAGACATCCAGTTTCTGTCCTATTGACTGTGGGTAGCATACTGGAAGCACTAAACTATTATCATTGCTTGTTTTTCATATAAATGTACGTTTTCAAAACCGGACACTCAGTGACACCTGGATCTTGGGCTAGAAGAGACTACTGCAATAAATCACAGGGTGTGCTTGGAAGTTCCAAAGATCCCACTGTCCAGAGACACTGTACAGGGCTACTTCATGGCCTCTCTTTACTCTAGAGTCTCAAAGGGCTCCGCCTGTTTTTCCCAAAGGTAAAGGCTCTGTGTTCTCAAATCAATTTTTTTTTAAATCTTTGGTTCAGTTTGTCCCCCTCTAGTAAAAGGAAAAGGGGTGAATTTCCCCATTGATAACACCCAGTGATCACACCAAGGTGGTTGTGACAGAGAAGGATGAAATAGAGAGCTCCATTCCCCTCAGGTGTTTACCTTCCTTTCAGTCATCTCTTTCCCCGTTATGCCACTCTCTCCCCCTTTTCTCATGTCGTTCAGTCTGAGTTCACATCACAGATTAGTAAAGACTCATACTAACCTGGGGAGGAATTGATTCCAGTATTTTAATTATATCCTGTATCATGATTTCATCTGATGATATTTCCTGAATGGAAACAAAATTTAAGTCAACAGACAAAGTTATACACATAGAGACAAATTTCCAAAACAGCCTAGATTTTTGAGTACTCAGCACCTGCATACTGTGATACTCTAAAGAGCTCTGATCCTAATGTATTGAAGTCTTCTGAAAATCAGGACCATGATGCATTGAGAGCAGAGATGGTGAAGCTATGGCATGTGGTAATAGCTTATCTGGTAGAGACAACAAATTGGCACCTAGGAACCAGGGACAGTGGAGCCAGAAGGGGCGGTGATCAATGGTGGCAGGAACAGTTGTTTGGAAAACAGAGTTTTCATTCCATGGGAAATCTCAACATTTTAAAATTAGTTTCTGTTACAAACTGGAATGAAAAGTCAAAATGCAAAATCAATTTGCAGAACAAAAAATTTCCAAATATGTTGCTTTGGAAATGTTGAAACGAATGGTTACTTCCCTTACAGCAACTGTGGTTCTTTGAGATGTATTGTACACATTGATCCCACTACCACTGTGCACCTGCCCCATATTTGCAAGAATTTTTTGGGGGGGGGCAGCAGTGTCTGTTTTGGCCACACCTATATCCAGAATACCTGAGCGTATAAAGGGCAGGGTGGGCCCAACTGTCCCTCAGTTACTTCACCAATACAGAATCCCAGAGCTAGAGGACCCCACAGCTCTTTTAATAGCCTCAGTTTCCTCTTGTCTTCACTCCATGGCTCGATTATGGGCTTCAGCTTCCAGCGCAGCTGCTGCTTCTTCCTCCTTCAGCTCCAACTCCTTTTCTCTCATCTCTGCTTCTTTCTGTCTTATTTTTGCATCACATATCTGATGCTGGCAGTCTCTCTTTTTCCTGTGCCTGTAATCTGGACCACTCTAACTTTGCAGTTTCACTCTCACTCACTTTTTTGCTTTACTGTTCCTATTTCCCTTTCCCGAAATAAGCAAACAGAACACAACAAACTGTGTAACCCTTCTTTGACTGTCTCCAGTCCCCACACTTGAGTCTCACTTAAAATCGCTATATATGCCAGTTCTTAAAGTGTAACCCTCATTCAAAACAACAAGCCTGTGCATATACCCTGCTCACTGCACCACTGTGACATTCCCCAGAGTTCAATCTGCGTGGTTGAAGACCTGTGTCTCCTCCAGTCTGCAACCTCTATCATGCAAAAACATTCCCACCTGAATTATATGAGTATTTTAACCAGTCACTCCTGAATTAAATTGCAGAGTGACACCAGCAAATTCTCATTTCCAGATTTGTCCCAAAAACATGCATCTTGTACTGCCCAGCACCCTCCTGGACAATAGAAGCTCATAGAAAGTCCATCACTTCATTACTAGAAAATGATATGTACAAACTTGTTACCTCAAATGTAGATTTGCAAACAGGTTCTAAAAATATTTTTTCTGATTGGGTCTATCTATGTGCCATTCCAAGGTGTGATTTCAGCTTGGATATTCCTCAATCCCTATGGCAGTGGGTACAGAGTAGACCTGGGTAGGAAAAGGATTTCCCATCCCCTGAACATTTTCAAGATTTCAAAATATTTTCCCATTCTATATTGGGATGAAACCTGGTCTTCTGGAAAAACTTCACAGAAAATGAGAGATAGAGAAGCCCAACCCATGAATAGCCAGTAACCCAGTGGTTACGGTACTCATCTAGGATAAGGGATGAACTGGTGGATTTTCAACAGCTCCAGGGAGACCAGCTGACCATCACTAATGTGACTTGGCCCTCCAACTAAGCCCCAGATACCACCACTCAAAATACCACCAAGCAATTGCCTAGTGGGTCAGGATGACTTGACCACCACAGAAAAGGTTGGGGGAGAAAGGATGCTGGGGAGAATGTAGTAACATTTCTAGAAAGGGGTGCATCAGTTTGTCATCATCCAAGTCCAAAGAGGATGGAGCTTGGCTGTTTTCAGTAGTAAGAGATGACAGAACAAGGGGCAATGGTCTCAAGTTGCAGTGGGGGAGGTCTAGGTTGGATATTAGGAAACATTATTTCACTAGGAGGGTGGTGAAGCACGGGAATGGGTTACCTAGGGAGGTGGTGGAATCTCCTTCCTTAGAGGTTTTTAAGGCCCGGCTTGACAAAGCCCTGGCTGGGATGATTTAGTTGGGAATTGGTCCTGCTTTGAGCAGGGGGTTGGACTAGATGACCTCCTGAGGTCCCTTCCAACCCTGATATTCTATGATTTGAAATGAAAATGTTCATTTTGACACTTCCCCTGGGAAAACCTTTTCGTTCATCAGAATTCAAATTTTCCCATAAAAAAATTCAGTTTCAATTGGTGAGAAAGTTTTCATCACAACTCTTTTCAATCAGTTCTAGCAGCAATGGCTGACATGGCAGATCACAGTCTGATATCCTGGACTGAAGGGACGTGGGGCAGGCGGTGCAGCATCAGTGTGTAAGGGGAGACAGAAAAACAGAATCTCAGAAAACAAGGAAACAGGAAACAGGAAAAGGAAGGAGTGGAGGAGCAGAGACAAAGAACAACAGTGAAAGAGAAAGGAACAATAGGAGACAACAGGAGTGACACTAGGGGAAAGATGGAGGGACACTCCTGCCCAGAGGAAAATGGAAGGAAAAAAGGAAGCCCAATGAAAGGGTGAGAAGAACAGAAGAAAAGATAAGGACATGCAGAGCTGAGCATGAAGAGTCAGGAGAAAACACAGAGAGGAAGCGAAGATAAAGATGAAAGAAGTTGGGGGGAGAAAACACAATGAGAAGCAGATTGCGAGAGGCAGAGGGAAGCGACTGAAGAAGTATTAAATTATTCCTGTTATACTGACATGGGCTATCCCATGGCATTCTGATGCACATCCAATGTGGCTGGTTACTTACATTCCTCTGTTCTGAATGGTGGCTGCCTCAAGTGTACATATACCAGTGGTGGGCAACCTGCAGGCCGCACACAGCTCGTCAGGGTAATCCGCTGGCGAGAACAGTGAACCGTGGCCACAGGGAGCTGTAGGGGGCCGTGCCTGCAGAGAGTCATAGTGAACGAACCATCTTGCAGCCCTCCAGTGGATTACCCTGACTAGCTGTGTGCAGCCCCTGGGCTGTAGGTTGCCCACCACTGACAAATACCCACAGCAAGCATGGTTACCTCATTTTATCCCTCCTCCTCACCCTGGCAACCCTGCTAACTACAGCCTCCTCAATATCTGCTCCCACCACAGCTTCCTTGCATTCCCAGAAGCCTACATCTCCCTTTCCTCATCCCACTCAACAGTAATTCTTTTAAAAACTGCATTAGATCCCTGAGACAGATGGGGTTACAGGGTGGGCAGGGATCAGAAATTGACATGTGCATGTCTGTTGAAAGTGCAGGGATGGGAGTTCAGAGGGGCAGTACCCTGTCAGATTCAGAACAGGAAGATAGGAATTGACACACCGGATCAAACTAATGGGCCCATCTCAGCAGGTATCACCCAGCGCACCCCCTGCTACCTCAGATCACACCAGTGGGCCCTGCGACCCAGCATCCCTCTGCTGCACCACACAAAAACAATGGTCCATCAACAAATTCAAATACTGTCTCTGGGCTGCCGACTCACAGATCTACCCTCTTCTTCTGTCCAGACTGAAATCTCAGCCTCTGACATCTCCTTATGGATGTCTAGCCACCAGCTTAATCTCAACAGGGCTAAAACAGAGCTCCTAATCTTCCCCCTCAAGCCTCCTCCCACCCCCTTTTCTCAACCACTGGGGATATTACCTCATCCTGCCTGTCACTCAAGCACATACTATCTTCAGCTCAGATCACTCTCTAAGTCCTCTCATCCAGGCTATATCTAAATCTTACTGGTTCTTTCTGCAGAACATTTCCAAGATAGGCCTTTCCTGTCCAACCACACAGCTAATACGCTCGTCCAGGCTCTCACCATCTTGCATCTTGATTACTGCAACATCCTTCTCTCTGGCCCTAACAAATGCAGTCTTGCCCCACTCATCTCCATTCAGAATGCTAGCCCGTTACTTTGGCCATTTCAACCCTCTCTTTTAATCCCTTCACTGGCTCCCCATTCTCCATCGCACTAAACATAAACTGCTTGTCTTTACCTCCAAGGCCTTTCATGGCCTATCCCCACCCTATCTATCACCTCTCATTCAATATCAAAAAGTCGACTCACATTTCCAATTGGCCCATGATCCCAGCCTGTCACCCACTTGTTAAATTTTCAAACAACCACCTTCATTCTTTCTCCCATGCTGCTTCTCATGTTTGAGAGGCACTGTCCATAAACAGTTGCAAAGCCACCTCATTTATCCTCCTTCAAATCCCTCCTTAAAACTCTGCTTTGCTGAGATGCTTACAAAAATCTTGACAACTATTTGGCTGCTGGTGTGCTGAGACGACTGCCGATCATGCTGACCATACTGCCTAATTATTTCCTTGTAGTCCCCATCTCTCTGTGTCCATCTGTTGTCTCTTGTCTTATACTTAGATTGGAAGCTCTTTGGGGGAGGGACTGTCTTTTTGATCTGTGTTTGTACAATGTCTAGCACAATGGGGTCCTCGTCCATGACTGGGACTTCTAGGTGCTACTGAGTTGCACATAATACATATTGTAACAGCAATAATCATACTACTACTACTAATAGTTTAATATCTAGTCTCTAAGAATGAGGTGAATATTTTAAATCCTCAATTATGCAGCATCCTGGTGGTTGGCTTTTTAAATTGTGAATTATGATGGTTGAGATTCTTTGTAAATTAGCCAGCCATGGCAAAAATAGCCAAATAGTGATTGTGCAAATCCCTGAACAATGCTCCTGTATTGAGAGAAGCTGGAGCAGTACAACTTCAACGCTATTTGGGGAATAATAGACACACACATTAACTTGGTTCTGGTGAAATCAATTAAATTCTTGAAGTATCTTCACTATCATTCCTGCTTTTTCTTTGCTAAGATTTTCTTTAACCTGTGTTTGAAAAGCAAAGATAAAGATATGTGGTTCAAGGATTGATTATTATTCTTTATTTTAATAAAAAAAACATGAACAGAAAGATCCGTCTTTAAAATCTGCACCTTTAACATGGGGTGACAGAGAGAAACAATAAAATCAGCAGCTAACAAGCATAGCTCCTCTCCATATGGCTCAACCCCCAACACAGACTCCCTTAAAACTTCAGACCCTTCATCTCCACCAAGACGCCTCCTTTCCAAAAGTCTTTCCAAAGAGAGACCATTAGCAAAATGCTTAAGGATCAACCTATTATCAGGAGTGGGCAAACTTTCTAGCCCGAGGTCCACATCGGGGAATAGAAATGATATGGAGGGCCATGAATGCTAAGAAAATTGGTGTTGGGCTGTGGGGGGTAGGGCTCTGGGGTGGGGTTAGGATAAGGATTTTGGGGTGTAGGAGGGTGCTCTGGGCTGGGACCGAGGGGTTCGAAGGGCGGGAGGGGGATCAGGGCTGGAGAATGGGTGCAGGAAGGGGTGCAGGTTCTGGCTGGGTGTGCAAGCTCTGTAGTGGGGCTGGGGATGAGAGGTTTGGAGTGCAGGAGGGTGCTCCGGGCTGGGATCGAGGGGTTTGGAGAGTGGGAGGGTGCTCCGGGCTGGGATCGAGGGGTTTGGAGAGTGGGAGGGGGATCAGGGCTGGGGCAGGGGGTTGGGGTGTGGGGAGAGGCTCAGGGGAGCAGGCTCCGTGTGGCGCTTACCTCAAGTGGCTCCCGGAAGCAGTGGCATGTCTCTTCCCCAGGTCCTAGGCAGAGGTGCGGCCAGGCGGCTCAACACGTTGCCCCATCCGCAGGCACCACGTGGTATGGCCCCAGACCCAGTTCCCCAGCCGGAGCGCCAGAGCGGGACCGAGCCGCGTGGTGCAGCCCCTCATTCAGTGTCCCAGCCGGAGTGGGGTCAAGACACATGGTCCATATCCTGATCCAGCGCCCTGACCGGAGCGCCAGAGAGGGGCCGAGCCACGTGGTCCAGCCCCCAACCCAGCACCCCGGCTGGAGTGCCAGAGCGGGACCGAACTGTGTGTTGTGGCCCGTGAGCCGGCTTAAAATGGCTTGCAGGCTGTAGTTTTCCCACCCCTGGATTAGACTGTTTCAGCTTGGGGAGGAGGAGGGGGGACTTGTTCCAGAGCTCAGGTCACCTCCTGCAGTGCCTCCTGCCAGTAACTATCTCTCTTTTAAATTGAAGGGAACTGCAGCTTCAGTGCCACCTCTGAGCGCAGCTATGGTAGCACAGCAGGAGGGAATGTCTCAGGCAGCAAAGACCCAAGCATTTTTTGCCTTTATAGGTGAAAAACAGCTCCTAATATTCAATCCAGAAACCGAAGGCAGTGCAGTGCACCAGGAAGCACTGCTTCATAATCTGATTCCCACATTCACACCAACTTAAAATTCAAGCTTGATTTTAAGGTGCAGCCACACCAAGAGCAGGTTGCAGTGACCCAGTCTGGAGATGACAAAGGCACGGACCTTGGTAGTGAGTCCTGCATCTGAATGTAACATTCACAAAATCCTAGACAGAGGCAGATGCATCCCTGCGCCCTTCTACTAAGTCACAATCTAAGAGCAGCTGGAGGCACAACCATATAACGGAAATGCAACACAAGTCACAAATGGTCACATTCTCAACCAACGGGGAGAAATCAACTTCACCACCTCCTTTGACAGTTTTCCCAATTTACCAGGATCAACTCAGCCTTATGCACATTGATTTCAGCCAGCTCACTCCCATCCATGCCCCAGTCTGCCTTACACTACTGGATGCTGAACCTAACTTGGGATTTCATATTAACCACGACGTAGTGGTTCCAGATTCCACAGAGAAAACATCCAGAGAGCCAAGAACAAATCCACATAACCTCCACTGATACAAAGGTCTGTGAATATTCTATGGCTCCATAACAACTAGCCCAGATCAAGACAGCATCATCTGAAGTTGTCATGCTTTCATGGATTATGCCAAACAGATAACATTCATAACTTGAAATAAAACATTTTCAAGATATACCTGT